CCCCCGGCGAGGCCTTCGCCACGCCCGACTCGCTGCTGGTGCTGCTGGACATGGACGCGGGCACGCTCAGCTTCGTGGCGGACGGCCGCTACCTGGGCGTGGCCTTCCGCGGCCTGCGGGGCCGGAAGCTGTACCCGGTGGTGAGCGCCGTCTGGGGCCACTGCGAGGTCACCATGCGCTACATCAACGGCCTGGACCGTAAGTCGGGGCTGGCCTGTGCGGCCGGGCTGGGCTGTGGGGTGGGGGAGAGGGGGTGGGGAGCTGGGCCTCAGTTTCCCCATCAGGTGTGGGGGGGCCCTGGGGAACTGGAAGCTGGGCCTCAGTTTCCCCCATCTGCAATCCTAATGTGATGGTGTGGGGGGGGGGGATGCAGAGCCGGGCCTCAGTTTCCCCATTTGCAGCCCTGACTTCACAGTGGGCTGAGGGATTCAGAACTGGGCCTCAGTTTCCCCATCTGCAATCCTGATTTGGTGGTGGGCTTGGGAGCTGGAATCCCAACTTCGTTGTGGGCTGGGGAATTCAGAGCTGGGCCTCAGTTTCCCCATCTGCAGTCCTGACTTCGTGGTGGTCTGAGGGATGATTCCGAGCTGGGCCTCCGTTTCCTCATTTGCAAATGGCAGTTTCGGGGCATCCGACTCAGCGTTGCTGCGGGCAGACAGCCGGGTGCCGGTGGCTCACACCTGTCATCCTAGCTACTCAGGGGACTGAGATATGAGGATGGTGGTTCCAAGCCAGCCCAAGGGAAGGAAAGTCCATGAGACTTTAATAACCAATTAACCACCAAAAAGTGACTGTTGAGGTGTGGATCAAGTGGTAGAGCACCAGCCTTGAGCAGAAAGAGCTAAGGGAGCACAATCAAGCCCTAGTACTGGTATACACATACACACATATACACACACACACACACACATGATAATACGTGTGCTTAGAACCCAGTGGCCTTGGACAAATCTTCGCAGGTGTTCCAGGGTGGTACAGCATGATGCAGTCTCACCACAGCAGGAGAGGCAGGAAGACAGTCCCTGGGCCCCAGCGTGTCAAGGTCACGCACCCTCCCCTCATTGATAAACTATAAGCAATGACAACTATGATCGCTGTCAACCTACTGCGTGCGGCGTCTGCCTGTGAGCTGTTAGGGATGAACTGAGGGAGGAGGTGCGAGGCGGGGGCTGTGCCATCTTCCAGCCCCTTCCAAGACAACCTAGAAATCTCAGCGGTGGCCGAACACTGGGCAGGCTGCGGACAAGCCCCGAAGGCTGCAGGCTGAATGCCGACAGCTCTGAGGGCTACTCTGATTACACGGGTGCAATTGAGCAATCGGGACAGAGCCCAGGTCCTTGGAAGGGATGGTTGGGAGGTGAGGAGGCTTCTGGGTAGAGGCCCAGGTGGCTACAAGACCCCAGTGGGATCAGCTGTGCAGGGGTGGGGCTCAGGCATTTGCAGACTTTGCAGACTTCCTTCTGCACCCCTGCTGGAAATGGGGCAGTGCCTCATAGCAGGCATTCCAGTTGTGCATTTTTGGGGGCACCTGGAGATTGAATTTAGAACCTTGTACACACTAGGCCCTGGTGCTCTGCCACTTGAACCACACCTCCAGCCCTTTTTGGCTTTAGTTTTCAGATAGGGTCTAGCATTTTTTGCAGAGGCTGCCTTTAGACCTCAATCCTCCTACATACACCTCCTGCATAGCTGGTGTTACAGATGTGTTACAACATGCCTACCTTGATTGGTGAGATAAAGTCTTGCCAATTTTTTTTTTTTTTGGGTGGTCCGGTCGTGAGCCTGAACTCTGGGCTTGGGCGCTGTCCCTCAGCTCTTCAGCTCAAGGCTAGCACTCTACCACTTGAGCCACAGCGCCACTTCCAGCTTTTTTTTTCTTTTTGCTTATGTGGTGCTGAGGAAGCAAACCCAGGGCCTCAGGCATGCAAGGCACGCGCTCTACCACTGAGCCCCCTTCCCAGCCCCAAGTCTTGCCAAGTTTTGCCTCAGCTGGCTTTAAATTTTTATCCTGCTGAGTGGCCAGTGTAATCCTATCTACTCAGGAGGCTCAGATCTGAGGATCAAAGTTCGAAGCCATCCTGGGCAAAAGAGTCCCCGTGAGACTCTTATCTCCAATAAACCACTCAAAAACACCAGAAGTGGTATAGTGGCTCAAGTGGTAGAGCTCTGGCCTTGAGCACTGAGAGGCTCAGGGACAGCGCCCAGATACTGAATTTGAGCCCCATAACCAACCTACCCCCCAAAAAACACTTATCCTGTCAGTCTCTGCCTCCCCAAGTAAGCTGGAATTACAGGTGTGAGCCACATACTTGGCCAGTTTATTTATTTATTTGCAACTGCCAGCCAAATGAGGCCAATTGCAGACTCCTTTTCTTTAGAGAGATAAGAAAAGAGAAGAGCAACCCTTCAGAGAGCCCGACATGGGGTTTCCCCCACCCCCAGATCTGTTACCTTTGGGACCCACTCTTTTCCCATGCTCCCTTCCTTAGTTGAGGGATGGAAAGTCAGACTGCAGAAAGCAATCGAGGGCACAGTGTAAGCCCTGCCAGGCTCTTGCATTTGCTTGAGCGAAGAGTGGGCAGATCACAAGTCAACAGAAATGTGAGTGGCAGGCGGGGCTTTCTGGCACGCTCGGGGTTGTTGGACTATGTTGAAACAGTTGAGCCTCCTTGTAGCTGCTTGAATCTTGGCAAGGTTGGGTGGGTCCTGAAAAGGGCTGGTTTAGTTAACCCGTGGCCTTGTGGGAAGTGTCTTAAGAATCACCTCAGTCGCTGGCTAGGCAGAGCTGGCTTGTAACAAGGTGGCAGAGTGCCTGCCCAGCAAAAAGCGTAAGGCTCTGAGTTCAAACCCCAGTTCCACCAAAAGAAAAAGCAAGCAGGCATGGTGATCAGATACATCCCACGGCGAAAATAAGCAAGCAGGCATGGTGATCAGATACATCCCACGGTGAAAATAAGCAATGAGCATTCTGTGCCTTGTGGAATTAGGACTGGAAAAGTGACTGGCTGGGGGTTGGGGACTCCGTTACCCCCACCCTGTACCCCCAGCCCCGTGGGGCTCCTCGGCCCGGAGACTGACAGAAGAGGGGCTGTGTCTCATGGTCTTTGGCTAGTGGATGAGGGGCGCAGGAAGAAGAGAGGAGACACAGAACAGCCAGAGACCCCAAACAGCTGTGTGTGTGTGTGTGTGTGCGTGTGTGCGTGCGTGTGTGTGTGTGTGTGTGTGTACCAGTACTTGAACTCATGGCCTAGGCTTTTTCACTCAATGCTGGCACTCGACCACTTGAGCCACAGCTCCATCTCTGGCTTTTTGCTGGTTCCTTGGAGATAAGTCTCAAGGATTCTCCTGCTTGGACTGGCTTAAATCTGCATTGTCAGATCTCAGCTTCCTAAGTAGCCACTGGCACCCAGCTTTCTTCTCTTTATTTTTATTTTATTTTATTTTTTTGTTGGTCGTGGGGCTTGAACTCTGACCCTGGGTGCTGTCCTTGCGCTCTTTAGCTCAAGGCGAGCGCTCTACCACTTGAGCCACAGCACCACTTCCGGTTTTCTAGTGGTTTATTGGAGAGAAGAGTCTCACGGACTTTTCCTGCCGGGGCTGGCTTTGAACTGCGATTCTCAGATCTCAGCTTCCTGAGTAGCTAGGATGACCAGCGTGAGCCACTGGCACCCAGCCCAGCTTTCTTTTTTTTTTCTCTCTCCTTCCAATTTTAGCCATAGTAAGCTTTTGAGGCAATGTGACTCTTGCTTCCATTTTCTTTTTTTTTTTTTTTTTTT